AGACAATATGACGCTTTCACATAAAATATTTGTCACCTCTCACGGGATTGCTGCATTTCGTACTTAATGATCTTATCCATGCAAGCCAGGCTCATGCTACGAAAGATCTTGGTTCATTGATTGATAACAAAATTTGTGAACTATTAATGTAATTAATGTAAGATTTTCTATGGAGGCTCTGTTGTAGCCGACATCCACACATCCATTATTTAATCGGATCCAGTTTCGGCCATTATACTCCTTTATTTTTATCATAAAATGACACGATCACTTCGGTTCCCATTCTCCGAAGTGTCAGTCACATAGATTAATGGCGAATCTCAAACAAACAAGACCATCAGAAATCGTTAAATTCACTTTCGAATGAGTGATAAGCTGAAAATGACCTACACAGTACATTCGAGTAGTTTGGGAACTGGCCCGAAAATCGTTGAATTTCTCAGGTACTGTTCCGACCGGTTGAAACCGATCAGATAATACAAGCTACCATCTTTGTTTAAGCAAACAGCTCGCCTTCCTATCCTCAAGAACCGGATGTCTCTTGGATGGCCAGTCGCTCAAACAAACAAAAAATACTCCGTGTTTGGTATTCTTTTTTTATTGTGTGGACAGCAGATGGAGCGGAACCCCATAGTCACGAAGACCTGCTGTCCAGTGATGGGAACCGGCAACTTAAGCCCTGCGGGACTTGAAGTGGCGAACTACGTAAGGCCCCGCTAGGTTAGGGGTGGTATAGAACCAGGTGAGAGCAAAGCTGTCTACCACCAAAGTTGGGTGGTGGTTGCATTGATCAATGAAATGAGTAGCGAGAAGACAACAACCAAATCCAGAGCACAGATGCACCGGGTTAATGAAGGGTTTATTCACCCAAACTGATCGTCGAGAGCAGCTTATCCTGATGATCATACGCAGATAAAGTGAACAAAGCTGATTTTAAGCTTTGCTTTTGGCTATGTATCGCTCCCTTGTGTGAGCGTGAGCAGTACTCGTGATGACATCACGGTTACTGGTATTGATGAAGAACCAACAAGAGTTAAACGTAAACTCAAAAATCACAGCGTTCGGCTTACGGGGCAACTGAAAAGAAGAACATCATTAATAGCACAAAGAGTATACTGCAAAACACGGGATTCAAAACAGACCAAACACTGACAAAGCGCTAAGCGCCATTCAGCAGTACATAAATGGGCATTGGTCGGTTTATAAACTTGGGGGATGAAGAAGATTGCCCGTAACGGCATTCGGAAACGCCGGTGGAGGTGGCGGAGGCGGCGGTACACCACTGACATTCGAAACCGGTGGAAGTGAGAATGTTTGGAATGGTGGCGGTGGAGGAGGTGGTGGGCCAGGGAATGCACCAGTGTTGCTTACTGTCACCGACGGGGGTGGAGGAGGTGGTGGAGGTGGCGGCTGAAGCGTACCCGAAGTGACGGACACTGAAGAGACGGGAACCACCGGTGGTGGAGGTGGCGGTGGTGGCATACCGGATGATGTAAAACCAACGAGAGTGGTTTGGAGTGGAGGAGGTGGCGGTGGTGGCAAGATTAACGATGTTACTGACAACGGTGGAATAGCAAGAGACGATAAAGTAGGAGCGGTTGGAGCCAAATTTGAAGCCAGCAAGCTTGGCGGCGGTGGTGGTGGAGGAGGGGGAGGAGGAGCGTCTGCAAACAACTGATGAGGACGCTCGGCCTGAAAACAGAGGAGTAAACAAAAGTGATATTGAAACCTGTTCTTTTCCAAATCAATTACGGTTTCTGATTCATTAAGAATAAGAATCAGTACGAGCCGCAAACATCTAGATTTACATATTTAAAGTAAACCAATTTGAACCTTCATACACTGGTATCACAGCTATTCATAATTCTGTTACACCTCATCTTTCTTGCTTATTGGTTTTCAGGGAACGACTTTCAAATGAACTGAGACACAATCTCAAGCAAATCATAACGCAGTTTCGACTTTTGCAACGGGATCTCGTTCGTCATCTCCATTGCCCGTTTACTGAATGCCAATTTATCAAGTTCATTTTGATCGTATGTGCACCAAAAAAGACAAATTTTTCACTGAAAATTCTGTCCACGATGGATGAATAAAGTGCATTCTTGACTTGAGTACTAAAGATACCTAAACACAGTAGAAATTTCTCATCTAACTCATAATTATTTCTACGTAGTCCAGTGGGATAAGTAATTATGATTTGGATTGATTGTCCTTCAGACTCTATCTACACGCACAATCATCAATTCATCCAGCCGACCGTACATTGAGGAACCAAAAGACTCGAATTTTGCTCTACTTAGAGTGTAAGACTTTA